GTCGACTACATGGGAGTTCAGCAACATAGCCATTACACCAACTGCTGGTCCCCCCATAAATAATTCTTAAAAAGAAGAGAAAATTTAAAAAGGACCAGATCCAGCCAACCATCCACTTTCAGCACAGAAACTTGTGTAGTTGAACCTTGATCTGCTTTTGGTATGTGTTGGGGGGATCCAAGCCTAAAACCTACAATCTCTAGGGATGAGACCTCCTGGGCCAGGCAGTCAAACAGAAGGCCAACTTTCATTGTTAATAGATCTTTAGAGCATTGATTGTAGGCCAGCCCTGGAGCCTCCCTGGAGGAGGAGATTAGCTAGATTCCTTTCTTAATCACACCTTCAATCGTAGTGGGCAGGAGGGAGACAGGAGCACACAGACAGGTGATAGACAAGTGCGTGTAAGGTCAGAGAGCAGAGCCAGCGGATGGCACGGAGGTGAAGGCAGCTGGGTTTTACACGGTCAGCTGTGTGGTTCGAGACCTGGAACTGGTGGCTTGGGAAGAGCATACTGGGAAGGGATTAGCACATGGCATAATGGTTACATCCCTGGAGAATGAATTGCAGCGTGGCGTGGCCATCATCCCTGGGGGATGGTTTCGTGCCTTCCGTCTCTGTCTTTTCAGCGAGCATACGCACCCTCTATCAAAAACCTCTCCTTTATTTTATTATCATCATCATAATCTTCTTTATATTACATTGGGTTACATATAATTTTACAGTGTATTACATTGCTTTTTTTTGGAGAGGTTTTCGCTATAGGGCGCATGCACTCGCCAGACAGACAGAGAGAGACAGAGAGACAGAAAGCGAGAAATCACCCCCCAGAGGTGATGGTCACGCCACAATCCCTTCACCTCCATTCTCCTCTCGGGATCTTGGGCACGCACGCACACGCGCCCAGCGTGAGTTTTAAGCCACCGAGTCCAAGACGTGAACCGCGGTCGACTACGTGGGAGTCCAGCGACATAGCCATTACGCTAACTGCTGGTTCCCCCCTTACATTGCTTTTTGAAAAGGGAATGCCGTGCATGTCAGTCAATACAGAGACATTAATCTCCCCCACTTCATCATTCAATCAAAAGTCTCTCTTAAAAAAACAACAAACAAACAAACAAACAAAAAAATAGGGACCAGCAGGTGGTGTGGTGCTTCAGGGCTCTGAACCCCTACATCCTGGACCTGGTGGTTTGCTTTCTCACTTTCCATCTCTCTCTGTCCCTCTCTAGTTAAATGAAAATAAACAGATAAATAAGTAAAGTGAAATAAAATAACTCCCCCCCCCAAAAAAAAAAGAAAAGAAAGAAAAACAAAGAGCAGACTGGGTCCATGCACGTCCATGGTGCAAACCCCAACAAGAGGGTGGAAGAGAAGGGATTGCGGCATGGCTATTCCCCCGGGCAGTGATGTCTCACTTTCTCTTTCTGGAAATGTACACACCCTCTGTAAGATTTAAAGTCAATTGTGGTAAAAGATATACATACAAAAGTTAACATCTTAGCCAATTTAAAAAAAAATTATTTCATTTTTATTCATTGTCATGATTTTATGATTTTGAAGTTGACCAGAGAAAGACAGAGAGAGAAGGAAAATGAGAAAGCAAGCTGCCAGGTCTGGGACTTGAACCACAGTCAGCCATGTGGGAGTCTAGCTGCCTTAACCACCACCGTACCACCTGCCGGCCCCCAGTTTTTGCTTTTTCATTTGCTAGAGGAAGTGTACTTACCGGAGAGAGAGAATTAGAGAGAAAAGGAGGGGGAGAACCCCCAGATATGGTCATACTGTAATCTCTTCTCTACACATCTCGAGTGTTTCTCAAGCAGTCAGGTCTGGGACTTGAACCTGCATGCAGTCAGCCATGTGGGATCCAGTTGTCTTAATCACCAGGTCTTAGACCACCAGGCCACAGAGCTGGCCCCCTGACCTTAGCCTTTTTTATTTTATTTTCTCCATTTTGCTGCAGGGACCGGTGTTCATCAGAGAGCCAGAGAGAGGGATTGAGAAATCGCCCCACCCCACCTCAACAGGGGATGGCCACACCACAATCCCTTCTGCATTCTCCCCTCCGGATTTTGCATGCACGCACACGTGCCTGGTATATTTTTCAAGCTGCCAGGTCCAGGGCTCAAACTTCACACTCAGCTAAGTGGGATCCAGCTGCCTTAACCACCTTGCTATCTACATCTCCCCGCGTTGGCTATTGTGAATCATGCTGCTGTGAACATGAGTGGACTAACACGTCTCTGAGACTCTGTTTCCAGTTGTTTTGTATATAGATACTAGTGGGATTGCCAGTCATGTGGCAATTCTGTTTAATTTATGGAGTGTCTACCATACTGTTTTCCACCAGGGCTGCGTGGTTTTCCATCCCACCTTTTTTTTTTTTTTTTTTTTTTTTTTTTGAGAGGTTTTCGCTATAGGGCATGTGTGCTCACCAGAAAGAGAGACAGAAAGTGAGAAATCACGCCCCCCCTCCAGGGGGGATGGCCACGCCGCAATCCCTTCTCCTCCATTCTCCTCTCGGGATCTTGGGCATGCACGCACACGTGCCCGGCGTGAGTTTAAGCCACTGGGTTCAGGACTCGAACCACAGTCGACTACATGGGAGTCCAGCGACGTAGCCATTACGCTAACTGCTGGTCCCCATCCCACCTCTGAATGCACAGGGTTCCACTTTTCCCACATTCTTACCAGGACTTGCTACATAATACCCAACTTTTAAGATTCCTTGGATGTGAGGTAGTTACATATTGCTTTGTAACACATCTTCCCAAAACTCAGCTGCTTAAAACAACAGTTTATTATCTTAATCTTACATAGTTTCTGAGGGTCAGGAGCCTGAGTGGCTACACTGGGTGAGTCTACACTGGGTGAGTCGTTCAATCTCCCTGTCCTGCCAGCCCCTGAGCAACCACTGATTAGCCTTGTCATTATAGATTAGCTTGCATTTTCTAGAATGTTCTATAAATAGAATTGTACAGTGCATGTTTTCCATGTGTTTGTGTGGCTTCTTTTGTTTGGCATGCTTTTGAGATTAGTCCGTTTTGAGTGTGCGGGTCGTATTTTCTCCCCTTTTTAATTGCCAAAGTGTTCTATCCCAGGGTCTGCTTTGTCTTATCCGTCCCCTCTCTTTAGGGAATTTTGGGGATTTTTTTTTCTTTCTTTCTTTTAGAGATTTTTTTACTATAGGGTGCATGTGCTCGCTGGAGAGACAGAGAGACAGAAAATGAGAAATCACCCCACCAGGGGTCTGGCCATGCCATAATCCCTCCTCTTCCATTCTCCTCTGGGGCTCTTGGACACACACACACAAGCACCCGGCATGAGTTTTAAGCTACTGGGTCCAGGACTTGAACTGCAGTCAACTAGGTGGGAGTCCAGCGATGTAATTATTATGCCATCTGCTGGTCCCATGGGGAGTATTTTTAAAAGAGGGCAGAATCTAGATCCCAATTAAATATAGGGTGGGTTCAACTCACCTGGAGGGACCCTTGGGCCACAATCAGAGGGCAGGAGAGCCCAGCAGGTGGTGCAGAGGTTAAGGCAGCTGGATCCCACGTGGCCAACTGCTTGGTTCAAGTCCTGGGCCCGGTGGATGCCAGCCCTGCAACTGGAGAGACTAGAGGAGAAAGGATTGTGGCGTGGCCATCTCCCCAGGAGGGTGATTCCTCTCTCTCTGTCTCTCTCTCTCTCTCTGTCTCTCTTTCTCTCCCTGACAAGCCCACACACCCTATTACAAAAACAAAACAAAGTGAGAGAGCCTCTGAGTGGATGGATGGGATCTGGGCCCCAGGGCGCTGTCCGTGGCGCGCGGGTGTAGACAGGCAGGCAGAGGAACTCTGACCCGGCTGGGACCCTTGGATGGGATCTTCTTTGTGCAGTTGGTTTTAAGTTTATTTGATGAATTTATTTTTCAAGAGAGAATGGGGAGACAGTACCCCCATAGGGTCTGGCCCTGCATCCAGCCCTCAGATGGTGGGCACACGCATGCTCAGCTCAGGTGGCTCAGGGAAGCCTGGGAAGGAGCCCGGGCTTTCCCACGAGGGGCAGCTTCCAGACTGCTGCAACCGCTGTGCCACCATCTGGCCTTGCACTTTTGTCACCTCCCAGCTTTCCAGCATTCGTGCCCCCCTCCCCCAAAGACCCGCTCCCCAAGAAGCCTTTGCGGGCCGACCTCCTGTGAGCTCGGGGGTGTGGATCGTGGGGGACGCCCTGCTCTGTGGAAGGTGGTGGTCACCTCTCCCCATCCTCTGCTCCCTCCCGTCTTCCCAAGGCTCTGGGGTCCACCTCGCATCTCCTGGGTTCCCAGGGCTGCATCCCCAGCAGCCTCTCCCCCCACACCAGATAAGTAGGAAGTTTCCGGGGCCTGGAAAAAAGCCTTAGGCTACGAGAGAAGCAGCTGCCCCAAGGACCCTTGGCGGCCTGGCCTCGGTGGTCGCTAAGCCCAGGACCCGGACCAGGGACACCGAGCGGTCCGATTGGTCCATCGGCCCGCAGCGCGGTGGTCCCGCCCCCTGGTTGCCAGGACCCAGCCTATCCACCTCCAGGCAGTCACCAGGTGGTTGGGGTGGGGGTCAGGACAGGTGTCGGTGAGTTGAGGGGCGAGGACCACAAGAGATCTCTCCCCCAGCCGCTCGGGTCTCTGGGATCTCTGGGGTCC